AAAATCGTATTTAAACCTACGTGTGCTTGTAAATTACAGCACACATAGTACAGTATAATATCATAACGCAAGAATCTAAAGTACTTCTCTCAGACGCACCCTGATATATGTCAAACGAAATAATTCATAGGGATTTGAAAATGCCATATGTTAAAGATTCATTAGATCGGCTTAATAAAACATCATAATAGACCCAAGAACACCCAAACCGACTCGTCTTACCTATTTTAAATAGAAACAATGTCAGAAGAGTTACAGATGGGTGTGGTACAATCGACCTAGATAGGATAGAATAGATTCTATCAGTGCGTTTGCAAACCATGTAAACACAATTCTCTTATTTGAAAACTAGTTCTGCTGAATCTTATAATATAATCCTACTGTTACTCTTTTCATGTTAATACCTCAAGTTTCAGACGAACTGTATTATTTGCGGCTATTCCAATGTGTGGTATTTTAGCATAGCATATTGTATACAAACATACATACATACATACATACATTCAAATATATATATATATATATATATATATATTATATAAATATATATATATATATATTGAGGATTTTTTGTTCGACGTTGAAACATATTGAATTGAATAGAACAGCCATGCGCCGAATGTAGAAAGTATATTTTAATTTTTTTTTATACGTTTCGAGACTAGATGTGTCTCATTATTCAGCTAAAAGAAATTACAATATAAGAAAAAGTTTTAGAATTAAAAATATAACATTAGAAAAATTAAATGAAAGAAAGGAAACATGTATATATACATGTATCAATACATATATAAGGTAGACTGATATTTTAAAAACAAGTAAAAGTAATTTTTTTTTACCAAAATAATTGAAAGTAGGGAGAAAAATATGTGTAATGACCCATCATCTTAATTCATACGACGTTATAATCGAGAGATAAACGGCAATATGATTGGAAATCCACAACAAAAGTATTTTGCATCGTTGTTTAGTTTTTTTTCGTTGTGAGTACTACTGTTGTTTAGTTCACGAGACCTCAATATAAATTTAGGAATGCGTTATTTAATTGCCCTCTGGAATATATTGTTGATTCTAAGTTAGATACAATAGTTTTTTATATAACATCTATGGAAGCTCACATGTGGGTGGAGTAAAAAGAACCAACTAAACCTTTACACTGGCAAAGGTGTAAACGACAAATAATAGTAAATGAAAAAATAAATTAAGTTGAAGAAAGCAATATTATAAGAGAAAAATTTAATTAATAGTTAATTCAGCTATGCTGATGAATATTTCTGCCAAAATACCAAATCAAGGAACTATACAGTGTTATACGACTCTGTGAAAATGCATCAAAAAAAATTTTTTTGTATTAGTTGCATAATGTAGCTTTTATTTCGTAAAATCCCTTTAAAATTGAAAATTAGCATTTGGATCTGTTTGCATCCTGGACCAAAAGACAATTTTTTGAAAAATAACAAAAAAACGTAGTTATACAATGATGAATTAACTAGATATTTTATTAAACATGGTTAAATAGTTGTTTGTTTGATGTGTTTATTAGTTTTGATGTGGTTGGTTTTGTTTTCACAGTATAATTGTCAAAAGTCATATTGGACCTTTATTCCCCGCCCTACCCTACATATAACATAAATAACGCTTTTAATATCATTAAAATTGGTATATAATAATATTAAAACCTAGGTTTAAGTGCGAGTTTGCTGAACTTTTCGACATTTGTGAATAATCGACTTAATAAAAAATCAATATATTCATTTATGAGTGAATTATAAGTGTATTGGGTTGCTGTAGAGTATTTTAATAAAAAAACTATTGCTCATTTTTCAATTTGTACAATTTTTTATAAATGTGTTATTTATTTTCGAAAAATGGTTAATATATTCAAGTTCAAGCAATTAATTTACTATGATTATGCATATAAAGTTTTTGGTTTTTAACAAATTACGGATTTTGTTACAATTATTTATTTACTTATCGTTAGTACAGATAACTCTGCATAACGCGGTATTTCTATAACACGTATTCGCTCTAACACGGTTTAAGAATTGAGACCATCCCCCTCATAACACGGTACTTTTAATGCCCAGGTTTGTTATAACACGGTTTGAGAATTGAGCAAAGCCAAAATAAGAAATATAGTAAAACCTATAAAATCGAACTCTATCTAATCTAAAATTAGTAAATCGCCGTACAATAGCTTAATTAATGTTAGAAAATCAGTACTTAATATTTATTATTCGACCACGTATGCTCAATCGAAAAAAAAATTAGAATTATCCGAACAATATATATATATATATATATATATATATATATA